TTGCCATCAAGAGTGATTGGATTTCTGTTCTCCGCTTTGAATTTGAGGACCATGGTTTTCCCTTTGTGTATGCTGAGGCCTACTGATGCAGAGACTGCTGCTACACTGGCTGTCTTCATCTGCATCTGTTCATGTGTACATGATGGGAGGGATAGGTCATCTGCGAAGTCCAAATCGTCTAATTGATTTTGAGCTGTCCATTGAATTCCGTGTTTTCCTTCAGATGTCGAGGTCTTCATAATCCAGTCGACCACTAGAAGAAAGAGGAAGGGAGAGAGTAGACAGCCTTGTCTGACTCCGGTCCTTGCTTGGAATGCATCTGTCAGCTGTCCTCCATGCACGACGTATGAGTTCCGGATAATGTTGACAATCTTCTCAGGAACTCCGTAGTGTCGAAGAAGTTTCCATAATGTCCTCCTATCTACACTGTCGAATGCTTTTTCATAATCAATGAAGTTGATGTATAGTGATGAGTTCCACTCAACTGATTGTTCGACGATAATCCGTAGTGTTGCAATTTGGTCTGTGCACGACCGATCCTTACGGAATCCAGCTTGTTGATCTCGAAGTTCGGCGTCTATTGCATCTTTCATCCGGTTCAGCAACACTCTGTTCAAGACTTTCCCTGGTATTGACAGCAGTGTAATGCCTCTGTAGTTTTCTCATTTGCTCAGATCTCCTTTCTTTGGAATCTTGACGAGGTGCCCTTCTTTCCAGTCCATCGGCACTTGTTCCTCCTCCCAAATCTTTTTGAATGGAAGGTAAAGCATGTTTGTAGTTGCTTCGATGTCTGACTTCAGTGCTTCAGCTGGTATGTTGTCCGGACCCGCTGCTTTCCCGTTCTTGATTTGTCTGACGGCCATTCTGATTTCTTCCTTCGTTGGTGGGTTGACGTCTATGGGAAAATCTGTGTGTGCCGCTTCGATGTCCGGTGGATTCATTGGAGCCGGCCTATTCAGGAGTTCCTCGAAGTATTCTACCCATCTGTTCCGTCGTTGTTGAATTTCGGTGATTGGCTTGCCTTCTTTGTCTTTGACCGGTCTTTCTGGTTTACTGTATTTCCCTTATAGTTTCTTCGTTGTATCGTAAAGCTGTTTCATATTTCCTTCTCTAGCAGCTTTTTCTGCCGTCGTTGCTAGTTCTTCCACATATTTCTTCTTGTCGGCTCTAATGCTCCTCTTCACTTGTTTGTTTGCTTCTATGTATTCAGCTTGTGCTTGGACTTTCTCTGCTCGTGTTCGGCTGTTGTTTATTGCTGCCTTCTTGTTTTTCCTTTCTTTGATCTTGTCCAGTGTTTCTGTAGAGATCCATTCCTTATGATGGTATTTCTTTAGACCCAGAACCTCTTGACACTTTGAAGTTAGTGCTTCCTTGATGCCTTTCAGTTGTCCTCCATACTAGTTTCTTCTTCTTTCAGTAGATCTTGTAAGGCTTGGAACCTGTTGTTGAGAGCTATCTTGAATTCATTGAGTTTGTCAGTATCTCGAAGGAAGGCTGTATTGAATCTTTGTAGTGCTGTTTGTCCACTTGTTCAGAGGCGACTTCATTACAGTTTTCAAATTGCTTAGTGCCAAATTTGCACCTGATATGCCCTTATTTTTCTTGTCTTCCAAAACAGAGAATTTACAAGGACACTACAAAAAAGTTCACAAGCCAAGAACAAATTATTTGTCAGGTGACTATCGACTTTCCCGTCGAATCACCAACGAGTGGAACCCATTACGTCAGCACATGTTTGAGGCTCCGTCTGTCGATTCTTTCAAAAGAAAGTTGGATCAACTGAGGGACCACCATTGCCAGGACTAACAAAAGCCATCAGGCCTCCTGTCCTTCTTAAACTGAAACTTATGACAAATAAAGGATAGGGCCTACCACGTCGGTAAACCTCACATAGGTGGGCTACCTGTCCATTCACATAAGGCTCATACAGAAAAACAGGACGAAGCTCACGCGTTCCAATTTGAAAGCATAAACTGCTTATATATGAACGCCTCGAGTCTACCAAACAAACTGAATGAATTACGTGAACTTAGCAACGCTAATAAAGTCCATCTCATAGGAATATCTGAAAACTGGATATCTTCGCAGTTCTCGGACCAAGAGTTAGCATTACCTGGGATGACTTTGTTCCGCAACGACAGAAAAACAGGAATGGAGGGCGGAGTAGTCATATACATAAGCTCTTGCTTGGAGGTGCACCAAGTTCACAACCTCGAGTTTAACTATCTAGAGGAATCCATATGGTTCTCTGTAAGGTTGTCTAGGACTTCGAGGTGTCTAGTCGGTGTCATTTACAGGAAGCCAACTGCCGACATAGTCGTATGCTAGAAGGACTATCCCGCTCTACCCGTCTCGGTTTCACACACATCCTAATTCTAGGGGACTTTAATCTCCCTAGAGTCAACTTCGCGGAACACACGTACACTGGAGGCGACAACTCAATTGAAGCTCGGTTCTCCAACCTCATCGATGACTTGGGCTTATATGAAAATGTGAGGTCGTCAACTCGTTGGAGAAACAGTCAGACACCATCGCGCTTAGACTGTGTATTCACAAACGAAGAATTCCTAGTTGACAACCTCTCAATCCTTGCTCCTCTGGGAAAGAGCGATCATGCCGTCATAGCCTTCAGTTTTGTCATCAAAACTAAGCTAAGGTATCCCAACAATAATTTGCGTTGGAATTTTAAACGGCTGAATTTGCCAGCTCTACATGACTATCTACAACAGGTGGTTTGGGATGTTCATCCTCAACTCGATGTGGATGGTCATTGAGACTTCTTGCTGCACACGCTCTTATGTGCTACAAACCATTCAGTTCTTCAAACGGTTCCCAAAAGCAAGCCACCTACAGTAATCAAGAACCGTATCCTTCGCATGCTAAGCCGCAAAAGGCACTGTTGGGCGGAATACAAACGAACTAATAACGACGGAGCGTATAGGCAATATAAACATATCAGGAACATATGCACGAAGGCTATAAGAGAAGACGGGCTACAGTACCAGACACATAATGTTAACATTATCGAAAATTGTGTATTATTGCATTTTTTGAAGAAACTCAAAATGGTTTCTTCACAACACTTATGTACCCATAAGATGTTTGTGAATAATAATAGTAATAATAATAATAATAAAGCTTATGGACAAATTTGCCTCTAACCCTAGAAGCCTATTCCGCTATTCATCCTCTCTTCGTCAAGCCAAAACAGGAGTTTCCTAACTGCTAGGTCTTAACGGCCCAACCAACAACGATGGCGACGCCGCTAACTTTCTGGCGGCACATTACTCTCAAACATTTCAACCGGCTGACATCAACTTTATTGACGACTGTTTCATCTGCAATTCCACAGGACTTTCCGAAGTGGACCTAAGCGCTGACCTGGCGTTCCAGAAACTGCAGCACTTAAGACTAGATACTTCTCATGGCCCAGATATGATTCATTCTGCCATACTGACAACGCCATACTGGCAACGCCGCTTAGCGTGATGTTTTCACACTCGCTAAGCCGAGGCAAATTACCGGAAAATTGGAAGTTGCCTCACATCACACCAATTTTCAAAGGTGGTCGACGCAATGAACCTTCAAATTATCGGCCGGTGGCTCTTCTGTCATTACCTTCAAAACTCATGGAGTCCCTGATATGCGACGGTTTAAACGACTATCTACTGTCCTTAAACTTCTTCTCACCCCAACACCATGGTTTCGGGAAGGGTTACTCTTGTATAACCAACCTGCTGACTGCGGTGGACAGATGGACAAGCATCCTTGATCGCAAGGGAAAGGTTTATATCATTTACCTTGATTTCTCAAAAGCTTTTGAAAAAGTTAACCGCTTGTGTCTTATCAATAAGCTCAAACGACTAGGTATCAAACCACCTCTAATCGATTGGCTTCCTTCATACCTAAAAATCGACACTTTAAGGTTAGGGTTAATTTCACTTTATCTCAGGCTATGGAATGTTCTAGTGGGGTCTCCCAAAGCTCAGTACTAGGGCCTCTTCTCTTCTTGATCTACATAAATGATCGTCCTCAACAGGTAACGTCAGACTTATTACTTTTGCCGACGACGTGAAACTTTGGAGAGAGATACGCAACCAAGACGATACACAGGCACTTCAGGAGGATCTGACTCGACTTCAAAGTTGGGCAGACGATAACGGACTTACTTTTAACACGTCAAAGTGTAAAGTAGTCCATCTGCGACATGTCGCGAACTACAGTTACAACTTAAGAAACTCCTTTCTAGTAGTATCCCAAGTCGAAAAAGATTTAGGAGTCCTGGTGCCCCATGATTTAAAGTCTTACCCCAACTGTGACAAAAATTCCTTCCGAGCAAACCTTGCACTGGTAACGTTGAAGCGCATTTTTGGCCAGTTTGACGCAAGAACTTTCCATACAATCTTCAGTAGTTTTATCCGTCCCCATTTAAAGTACGGAAACATAGTACTCCCCCCTCACTCCAAAAGGAGCGTATCCAACGGCGAGCCACGAAATCAGTTCGAGGACTCAAATCTAAGCCTTACGAAGAACGCCTCCATTCACTAGACCTTTACCCATTAGAGTATAGGCGTCTTAGAGGTGATTTATTAATGGCTTATAATATTCTTAACACTTCTGGACATCCTCTTAAACACCTACTTAAACTTAGTTCGAATAATAACCTAAGGGGTAACACCCAGAAACTGGAAACTCAACATAGCAAGACGGAATGTGGACACAACTTCTATTCCTTAAGAGTTGTCAAAAGCTGGAATTCGCTGCCGGCCGAGCTAGTCCAAGCGACTTCTCAGGAGTCCTTCAAGAGGCAACTTGACCTATTCTTAAGGACCAAGGATAGTATCACACTATGATTTACCAATTTCTTTTCCTCTTTTATTGTTAACATACCTAGGTTCCTGCCTGGAGGGTTTGATGATCCCCTGCTACTAGACACGGAAGCCTGTTAAGCGAGAGCTTCTTCTATTCCGTCCACAACCATTTGAACCGTTTGAAATATATTTGATTCCACCGCCCATTTTAACAATAACGTTGCTTTTTATTTGTGTAATGAAGACTTTGTAGGTTGAAGTACTTTTATATTAGCTTATTTTTTGTTCAACAAGGATGGTTTAAATCTTTCAAATTACAAGAAGTATATTGTGTATAACTAATGTCAAAAAATCTGAAGGATATTTGTCGAAAAGTAGTGGCAGTTGGACGAAACTATGCGTACGATTGTTGTTACTAAGTACCTATATTTAGAGACCATGCAAAAGAATTGGGAAATAAAGTTGAACCTTCACCTGCTATATTTTTAAAGCCTTCTAGTTGCATCATTGAAAAGGGGAAAATTAAAGTTTTTTGTGACAATCCTTACTTAATCATTTATCGCTGATATGTAGTTACCAAATGGGGCCAGTGAAGTCCATCATGAAGTCGAACTTGGTTTGGTAATTGGGAAATCACTGACAAATGTCAAAGCAGAAGAAGTAAAAAAACCCACTCAATTTAATCCAATCTCCCTATTTTTGGGGAAAATTTTGTCTGTTTTGGGTAGATTGTGGGGAAACCGCTATAGAGAACTTTGAAAACATGGTACAAAAACCTCAAAGTTTTTCCAGGTCTGGGGAAAACCCCGAAAGTTCCGGGGAGGCTTTGGTTTTTGCCCGAGCATTGAGGATACCTACCATGTTTCTTACAACTTTTTGGAAAACCCTAAAATAGGGAGATTCGGAAACGCTGTATTTATCTTTCAAGTTTCGCATAGCGAAGGTAGATATGTAAGAATAACTCATTTGTATACCTTTGAGTAGCGTTAATGCTAAATATGCATTTTAATGGTTAAATCAAGGGTGCAGTTAATAAACAGAATAAGCTTTTGATGAAAATGATTGGCATTAATATGCTGAAATAGATAAATTATTAGCCTATCACTAGAATTAGACTATCTCTTTAATATATTGGAACTGTAATGACACGTGTTGAAACGTACAATAGTTGTGTAGGGTTGAAATTGTCCGGAATTGTAACGTTACAAATAAATCCAGAATTGTATCGGATGGATTCACTCTGAATTATATTGAACGAAAATATAAACCACGGTGTTCTCTCACCAACCAATGTATTTCAAGCGTCCACTATTCAGAAAAGTCAGGATAGTTAGACACAAAAAGGTGTGTTAGTACGGTATACAGCTTAAGGCTCCGAACTAGTCACATAACTGGACACCAGATAATTAATAGGATTGAATTCGTACATCTAACAGTCACATGGCTGTCTTGACCTTTTATAACTCAAATGAATATACAGATGAATCACTTTCATATTTTTGCATTCAATGCTAAATTTCCTCGTATACATTTTAGTGTTTGTTTTATTTAGGTTTATTCAGCAATATTAGGTTATGTGGTTGCGTTAGATCTAACTGATCGACTACTTCAGAATCAGCTAAAAGCAAGCGGACTACCATGGACGTTGGCTAAATGCTTCGACACAGCTTGCCCTGTGGGGCCAATTCTTCCATTGGAATCACTACCGGCCGGTATTTTAACTTCTCGCCAGGAATTCCAAAAAGTAGATAATGAGATTTGGTTAAAGGTAAACCAGTTGGAACGACAACGATCAAAACTGAATATGATGGTCTGGACACCAGCAGATCTAGTATCGATAATTACCAAGAGAATCTCACTACAATATGGAGATCTAATTTTAACCGGTACACCTGCTGGTGTAGGGCCTCTGAAATCTGGTGATGAAATTGAAGCTGGATTGGATGATTTATGTTCTATAAAATTTAGCGTAGAATAACTGTATCCTAACTGAAGTTGATTGTCTTCGTAAAATTATTTAGTGCTCCAGTTTATGTTTGCAAGACATTGTTCTTAAAGCTGTTTAACGTACCTTTACATTACGGTTGTTACTGTGTCAAGATTATACCTTAGTTACTGGAAAACGTCTTTTTGGTTATGGTGTTGCCAGTGTCCTGACTAAGCATACTCGTCTAGTCACTTTCATCTTCAGTTTTACTACATTCTGCCACGCAGCCTTATCAAAATACATGCCTATAGATAGCTGATGAGTAATTCTAATTGGAGCCTTTTTATGTTTTTGAAAGGTATGTCTTGACTTTCTCAGTACAACAACAGCAAATAGGTTAACTCAACAGACCTTTTCAAAGAGAAAGCTAATTAGTAGGATGTTTGATTAGCTCTAATTAGTAGTTAGTTGTGTAGAATTAATGTTGGGATTATGGTCTAAATTTAAACACGTACATTATTTTCTAACCACATGGTTACTTCGAAACTATGATTAAAGGCTAGATCGAAGAACTGATAAGTTTCTGAATCCTCCTCATCAGCCGACCCAAATGAGTTAACGCCCCACTAATCTCAAGTCATTTCTTGTTATTAAAGATATTGGCGTACGTGGGCAATGAAGATCTGTCATTCCACAAATGTGTAGTTTGTTAAAATCTTTCATATGGGTGCTGAAAGTATTCCGGCTATCGTATCGTTTTATGTATGACTGTGCTGAACGTGTCAGAATCAAGTAGATGGTCAGTCCTTAAATGGAAATTAAACCATATTCGACGGATAGCCAGTATGATGTTATCTGAGATGGTCCCCACGATCGATTGGATTTGAGTAAATATGACTAAGTAAACTGTAAATTTTGTTTGACATTTATTTACACTTCTGAAGAGCTTTACGATTTACAGGGCTGAGGAAAATGATTAAGCCAGTGTGTATAGTTAGTATTAAATTATGGTAAGTAGTTTTAATCAACTGCTAGGTTTTCTTATAAAGCAACTGAAGATCTTAGAAGTTGTAGTAGATAAATCTAAATAATCCTATTAGTTGACTGGAACGATGGCTGGCTAAATTATAGAAATCGCATGCAATCTAACATATTTAATGTTGGAGCTACTAATGATCTCAAAATGAATTAAGTTTCTATGCGAACAAAAGATGATTTGAGTTGAAATCTTTTTCTGAAGCTAATACTTCTACGCTAAGTAGATTATTTTGCGTTAAACACCAATGTTCGTCGTCATGTGTAATTTTATATATCACTTGTTATGCGGAATCCTCACTACATTTGTTTGTTTTTACGAGATTAACTAGTTTTATGTTCCGGGCAATTAAATATACTATCTTAGTTGTGTTGGTCTTTTTTCACAAACGATTGGAACCGACGATCATCCCTTCAAATGATGGACAACCGTCCGTTAATGTGAATTAGGAATGGACATATACATCCATATCTTAAGTATTGTCCGGGATGTTAACATTTTTCATTGTTCTGGTTCCTTTTAAGAATAACAACTCCCGAGGTTATCAAAAACGGTTCATAAATCATGACAGGAAACTCAATTCGGGATTCCTGCTTTTTCACCGAGTCATAAACGACTGGAACGTCTTGCGCAAGCAGGTAGTATCTACCCAGTTAGCAAACACCTAAAAGAAAGTAGGATCTACAATGAGGTGCTTTTTATAAGAGTTAACGCAAATCAACCTACCTGCTATGCCCATTACAAAGAATGAGTTGGCGTGAGTCGTAATAGTAGTGCGAGCGGTTCAGTTAGTGTGAATGCAATTAGAATGAATTCTTCGTCATAGAAGTGTCTCTCATCATCTCTGCATCATTAGTCACGGAGAGGGCTTATGAACGGTCCGTGACGCGAATAATAATTCGTCCTCAACTGCTAGCGCGTTCTGAATAACGGACTCTGGCTTGCCAGTTGTGTCAACGCAATATCAAAAGATGCCGGTCTCAACCCGCGCCGAAACTGACACATCATCATTTATATGTTGGAAGTTTCAGCAGGGCTGCCATCGGCTTTTATTCTGACTCATGTATTACGAAGTCTCAGGCCGCCGAGTTGTATCATACTTAGGACTTCAGACAAGCAGTTGCTTAACTGAACAACTCTCGGTTTCCTATTTTAACATCATTTTAGCACTACGGTCCCACAGTAACGGGTTAAACTCGCCATACTCCACAATCACTCGCAATTTCGACAACCATGTGTTCTAAGATATAGAAAGTAACCCATGGTGTCTGCTAAAGAAGAATTAAAGACAGTTCAGCGTGGATAACCTGTTAGAAATCAGCTCAACAAATACAGAACACCCGACTAATGCAACTTATTCAATCGAATTACTGATGTTAATTTAACCACAATGGAAATCACATCACTAGGTGTAATTTCACTTCTCACCAATGTCCCTTCAACGTAAACCATGTTTTTTATGTAATGACATTGAGAACAACACCCTCGATACTGGTGTTCCAAAACACTATCTAAAGGAGTTACTCCTAAGATGTACATTCAGTATCTAGTTTAGATTTAATAATGAGTTCCACAGGCAATATAATGCCTAGGGGTCCACCGCCCGGTCCTCTTCGAGCAAACTACTTCATTGCCAATCTTGTGTATGCAGTGTTTTAACCGACGATTGACGGCTGCCAGGGATGCTCCGAAGACATGATAGACGAGGACGTATCCAAGCTGCAACAGATATTCCCCAAACATGGCTGCCGACCCAGGCTTGATGGGTAAAGGTGAAACCTGAATTGCAAGCTGTACGGCACCATACAGTTCGTAAGAGAATTCTTCAGGGACTTCGAGTTTACTATCGAAGGATGGTTTTACGGAATCTTAATTATCACCACTGCTGTAGTTTATTCCTTACCTTTCCCACATTTGTCACTGCAAATTTTCGAATATTAAGCAACTCTCTTTGACATGACTAGATTTAATCGCCACCCCATTTTTCAAATGACCACTTTGATTGTTAACTGTAAATACAATTGAATAGCCGGAGTAAATTACGTCAAAAGGGAATCTCCTCCACTGAATTGTCTTTGGTCGTGTGCATCAACAACAAAATGTGGCTGACCAGCATTCGACTAAATGAATTACTGCGCTACAAACCAATACATTGACAGTCATTACTGGTACTTTCTACCAGCTTACCTCCTGCACTTCATGAAAATAACGCTCGCTTACAAGCTGCAAGCCCAAAGTAGTTCAAGAGAACACTGAAATACATAAAACGTCCAATAACCGGCACTTAATCCTAGAAATCAAATATATGTCTGCCACAGTATAGGTCTATACATCCGTTGCATTGATCACCACAAAAAACAAGTTTCAACTGCAGCGCATTTTACGCCTTCATTGTATCACTGGCCACGTTACGAAGTCATCACAGTCGCTAGATGCCCCTAGTACGGCTGAATCAGTTTTCCGGAAAAACGGCCTGGGCTCATCTACCAACTTTATAAGAAACCGTACAGATTGCCTACACCTCTAGGCACCAACCTACTACTGAAAAACGCAGATATAACCCTGGAGCGAACCGCTTAACTATGTAACGCACAGTAGTCTCAGCTGAGATCTTGAGACAATGACCCGGCCCGAACTAGCTTTATCATAATACCAAGCACAAAAACATTTCGCAATGTTTTTGTGAAGTCGTTCTTAGTAAGTGGAACAATCTGACGCGATTCAGTCAGTCAGTTAGCTACAACGTAGGACCAGGCACATATATGCATCGGTCCAGGTTGCCATACCTCGTTAGCACAGCAAGATGAACACCGGATTCACAGGAGTGGTTAGGTTAAAGGTGGTAATATATAGGAGAAAGATTGCATATAAGGATACAGTACCGGAATATAGAATTAGTTCGTAGAAAGAAAGATATGAAGCGATTTTAATCTCTTAGTTTAAGGGAAGACAGGGAGTGTATGCACCGATGCCATTGTGACCGATTCTGAGCCATGTCATTAAGAGTCTCCAATCATCGGTTACGATAGTCACGCGGATCCCAACCAAGCAGTCTGCATCTACCAACATAGCTCAGACTAGAGGTTAGTGTCTTCAAGCACTGATGCCACGTTTTGGTTTGGCCGCCCCTAATTCTCTTTCAACCATCTCTAACACCCGTTAGCATTGCACGTCGTGGTAATCAGTGTTCAGGCATAAGTAGCACGTGGCCCAACCATCTCAGTCGATGAAGATTCACAACCTCATCAACTGATTTACCATCATTCCCTAATACCCTGCGTCTAACTTCACTATTACTTACCCGGTGATCCCAACAGACGCCAGCAGTCAGTCAGTAACAACGTAGAACTTCGTACGTACGTACATCAGTTCGAGTTGCCACACCACCTTAACACGGAGATGCAGTTGTCGATCCAAATCCCGTAGTGGTAGAGGTAGCAAGAGTGTAAGCAGTGATCGGGAAGATTAGGGTTTGGAGATGTTATTTAAAGAGTATAATTCAGTGAAATAAATTTGGAAAGAGGAAAAAACAAAGGGACATGAAGAATTCAGAAGATTAGAATTTGGGAGAACACAAAGAGTGGATGCACCTGCGCCATTGCAAACGATTTTGAGCCATGTCATTCAGGGTCTCTAACCATCGGTTGCTATCATCTCGCGGTCCCCAACCAGGTAGTCTACACCTATCAACATGACTCAGACCACTTGTCAGTGACTTCATAGACTTGTGCCATGTTTTGGTCTGGCCGCCCCTAGCTTTCTTCCAACCTACTCCTATACCACTGAACATCGCACGTCGAGGCAGTCGGTCGTTGGGCATACGTAACACGTGTCCCAGCCATCTTAACTGATGAAGTTTCATTACTTCATAAATTGATTTGCCATCCTTTCCTAGTACCCGTTTCCTAACAATTGCGTTTCTTACTCGATGGTCCCAGGATATACGAGCAATGTTTCGAAGACACCTATGATCGCATACTAGTAACCTACGAATATCGTCTACTCTTAACAGCCATGTTTCACTGCCATAAAGTAGGACGGGACGTACTGCTGCGCAGTAAACCCGTCCTTTGGTTGATAGACGGATATCTCGCCTACGCCATAAATGACGCAAGTTAGTCAAAGCAAGCTAGTCGAGCCTTCTGTATCCGTGCTGA